AACATAGCAAAGAAAAAGACCACGGTGGGTCTTATGGCAACTTTTTCCAGTATGTATAAGAAGCCATCAGCCTCAAAAAAAGTTCACTTGATGAGGCAATTATTCAATTTGCGGATGACGGAATTTGCATCAGTGGCTCAACACCAAAATGAACTCAACACAATCACAACACAGTTGAGTTCCATGGAAATTAAATTCGATGATGAAGTTTGAGCTTTAATTCTCTTATCATCTCTACCAGTCAGTTGGAATGCTACTGTTACAACAGTTAGTAGCTCGCCGAGAAACAGTAAATTGAAATTCGACGATGTTCGGGATCTGGTATTGAGCGAAGAAATTCGACGGAGAGAATCGGTGAAGCATCAACCTCCTCAGTCTTGCACACGGAGTCTAGAGGGAGAACTCCAGAAAGAAATTCAAATCGTGGCAGATCGAAATCTAGAACGGGAAAATCAAGAACGAGAAATAAAGATTTTACCAGTTATAATTATGACAAGAAGGGTCACTTTAAAAGAGATTGTCGAGCACTGAAGAAAGATATCGGCGCACAGGAATCTGACAACATGACAGAGAAGACAGGTGATGCCATGATTCTAAGCGTCAACGGTCCGATTGAATCATGGATATTGGATTTAGGGACATCTTTCCACTCCACCCCATGCCAAGAAATCATAGAGAACTATGCCAGTGGTGATTTTGGGAAGGTTCATCTAGCTGATGATAAAACCTTAAAGATCGTCAGAAAAGGAGACATTCGATTAAAGTTGTCAAACCATACCACCTGGAAGCTGAAAGGAGTGAGGCATATTCCTGGCCTCAAAAGAAATCTGATTTCTGTTGGACAGCTTGATGGAGAAGGTTATAGTATAACTTTTTCAGGTTGTGAATGGAAGATTACCAAAGGAGCCCTCGTAATTGCTTGTGGTAAAAAGACTGGTACTCTCTATGTAACCTTAAATTTAGAGAATATCATTGTAGTAGCAGATGCTGATGGAAAATCAAACCTATGGCACCAAATGCTTGGCCATATGAGCGAGAAAGAGATGAATACACTTTTGTCAAAAGGGAAGCTGCCAGATCTAAAGAGTGTAGATGTCGGACTATGCGAAGATTGTATCTTTGGGATAACAAAAGAAAGTCAGTTTTGCAAAGATTGGCAAGACACCCAAGGCAGAAAGGTTAGAGTTGGTTCATACTGATGTATGGGGACCATCTCCAGTTCCATCTCTTGCAGGCTCATTATATTATGTCACATTCATCGATGGTTCTACAAGGAAGGTGCGGGTTTATTTTCTGAAAAAGAAATCAGAAGTCTTTGATACCTTCAGAAAATGGAAGGCCATGGTGGAAAATGAGACTGGTTTGAAAGTCAAGCAGTTGAGGTCTGACAATGGATGAGAGTACAAAAACAATATATTCAGAGATTTTTCGCAAATAATGGGATCAAGATGGAGACAATAGTTCCCATGATATCACAACAGAATGGCGTAGTAGAACGCATGAACATAACTCTGAATGAACGTGCCAGAAGCATGAGGATACATGCTGGATTGCCCAAATTGCTATGGGCTAAAGCTATCAACACTGCAGCTTACCTGATCAATTGTGGGCCCTCAGTTCCTTTGGATGGTGGAATACCAGAGGAAGTTTGGAGCAAGAAAGAAATAAACCTTTCACACTTAAGAGTGTTTGGTTGTATTTCTTATATACACATAAATTCTGCTGAAAGAAGAAAACTTGATGCCAAGTCCAACAAATGCGTCTTTGTTGGTTATGGTGGTGATGAGTTCGGTTACTGATTTTGGGACTATGAAAATTGGAAGATCATCAGAAGAAGAGATGTTATTTTCAATGAAAATGTGATGTACAAAGACAGGTCAACCATAGAATCAAGTAACTCCAATACCGAAGCTGAAACAAAGGAATTTGCTGAGTTCGAGGAGATTTCTATAAATGATATTCAGATCAGTCCAGAAGCAGTTCAAGAAGAACCACTCACACCAGAACTGAGATGCTCCTCCAAAATTCCTAAACCAACTCAACGTTATTCACCTTCTTTGCACTACTTGTTGCTGACTGACAATGGTGAACCAGAGTGCTATGATGAAGCAATGCATGTGGAGGATTCAGTCAAGTGGGAGTCTTCCATGAAAGATGAGATGGACTCGCTTATGTCAAATCAGACGTGAGAATTAGTTGAATTACCACCAGGCAAGAAAGCGCTCCATAACAAGTGGATTTACAGGATCAAAGAAGAGCACGATGGGAGCAAACACTACAAAGCAAGATTGGTTGTCAAAGGTTTTCAGCAAAAAGAAGGTATTGACTACAATGAAATTTTCTCTCGAGTCGTAAAACTGTCTACAATCAGACTGGTGTTGAAAATTGTAGCTGCAAAGAATTTACATCTTAAGCAGTTAGATGTAAAGACAGCTTTTCTTCATGGTGATTTGGAGGAAGAAATCTATATGAGGCAGCTAGAAGGCTTCATAGAGGTAGGCAAGAAAAACCTGGTATGTAGGTTGAAGAAGAGCTTGTATGGTTTAAAACAAGTTCCTAGACAGTAGTACAAAAAGTTCGATAGTTTCATGAGTAGCAGTGGTTTTACCAGATGCCAAGCAGATCATTGTTGCTACATCAAGAGGTTCAACAAAAGCTTCATTATTTTTATTATTATACGTTGATGACATGCTCGTTGGAGGTTCAGACATGCAAGAGATTATAAACTTGTAGCAAAAATTGTCAAAGCAGTTTGCTATGAAGGATTTGGGTGCTGCAAAGCAGATTCTTGGGATGAGGATTAAGAGAGACACAAAGTCGGGGACTTTGATGTTATCACAGGCTGAGTACATCAACAAAGTACTCTCCAGGTTCAACATGCAAGATGCTAAACCAGTAAGCGGAGGAAGAACGTGCACACATGGTGAAGGCACCTTATACCTCAGCAATTGGAAGTCTGATGTATGCCATGGTTTATACTAGACCAGATATTGCTCATGCAGTGGGAGTTGTTAGCAGGTACATAAATAATCCGGGCAAGGTACACTGGGAAGCAGTCAAATGGATCATCAGATATCTACGGGGTACCACGAACAAAGCACTTTGTTTCAAAGGTGGAGATACGATACTGACAGGCTATGTAGATGCTGACTTAGCCGAAAATGTTAATACCAGAAGAAGCACTACAGGGTATGTCTATACTCTAGGAGGAACCGCAATGAGTTGGGTTTCTCAACTACAGAAGATAGTTGCTCTCTCCACAACTGAAGCAGAATATGTCGCTGTTACGGAAGCCAGCAAGGAGATGGTCTGGCTGCAAAGTTTCTTGGAAGAGTTAGGTAAGAAACAAGAAAACAATGTCTTGTATTACAACAATCAGAGTGTTATCCCTCTAGCGAAGAATCCGTCTTTTCATTCCAGGACGAAGTACATACAATTGCAATGTCATTTTATCCGGTCTCTTCTGGAAGATGGGATTTTGAAACTTGAAAAGATTAGTGGAGCTCAAAATCCGGCAGACATGTTAACAAAGACGGTGACTACGGACAAACTGAATTTGTGTTCAGCTTCAGTTGGCATGCTAGAGTAATAAGACCAGAAATGCTGCTGCATTGATCAAGGAGTGAAGACATATTAAAATTAGTCTTTAAGTGGGAGATTGTTGGAAATTAAGCAGCCGGCGGCTGTTAAATTTGTCAAAAAGGGGGGCTGCTTTGATTTCAAAGTTAGGCAGTCCATGTGTTTGAATTTGGGCAAGGGATAATTACAAATTGAGTCATTGAACTTTAGGGTATTTATAAGATTAGTCCCTAAGCTTCAACTATAAATACCCTAGCTCATTTAGCTTCAAAATCATCCCAAATCATTTATTTCTCCCAATACTAGAGAGCTTTCTTGTGAGTAGTGAGTGTTTTGTAAACACCTGTAAATTTTCTCTCTTAGTAAAAGATTTGCAGCAGTCCGGAGACGTAGGCATAATTAGCTGAACTCCGTTATCAATTTTCGGATATTATTTTTCCGCTTTTATTTCGCATTCTCACTAATCTGGTTATAGGGAAATTACTCGTCCTCGTTTTATTTCCCAACAGATTTGTGCAAATATTTTAAAACTTTAAATACGAATATATATTAATATTAAAATATTGTGTTGCTCTAAAGTTATTTGTTAACTTATAAGATTTTAACTTAAAATTTTATTCAAGACATTAGATTTTTTTTATCGTCCGATCAAATAGATATAAACAATATTATAAAACTGAAAATATGGATATCCCTATCCAAAGGGACCATATTGGCACATGCAAGTGTAAGTTCATTATCGAAAATAATTAGAACAATGGCTCACATGAGCTGTAGAGATTATCAAACAGTTAAAGCCCTCTAAAGCGACATTTGTCTTTGTTCAATAATTCTCACTGACCATTACCCATATTGCACGCCATTGCCAACTCCTTTGCTTTCAATCACAACAAAATCAACTACTTATGAAAAATTCCTCGTTACTTGCATTAAACTCACTAACTTCATTAACGTTTTGAAGTCCAATCTATTATAGTTCTAAATACTCTCAATCATTTGACAATGAACACTCAATCATCCCCTGTTGCAGCCGCTGGTGCTCGAAGCTGTGATCCCTATGAACAACAACGATTCATTTAACCACTGAGGTAAGTTGGTTTAAATGAAACATAACAATTAAATTGTAATGGATCAAATGAGCATGTTATACGAATATGTAAAAGTAATCTCAAATTCAAGAACTAATGGTTGATAATGATATATAATTCACAATGATAAATTTTAAAACTGATTGTATGAAGTCAACAATCTCTGGAGCATGTGATTAAAAGATCTAAGTTGATATTTTTCTCTCTCCTCTAGATTGTAGGTTCAATACTTACTAAGAGCGAAATTTCTGTTCCCCTGCTCTCCTAATTAGGAATTGTTCAAAAAATGATTGTATGAATAGAACAAATTAAATTCCGGGTTTTTGTTTACGGTTACGAACGAGTTGTTGGAGGATGATTAGGGGGGAAAACCCTAGTTTCCTGTTGATCTGGAGAAGGAACAGGGAAATTGAAAAGAATGGTTCCAAGACCAATTTCTATGGGAGGAATTTTCAGCTTGTTGATGTTGATATTATTAATCAGCACATCTTCTGCTTCAATGCTGCCATTGAATTCATCTCTTAGAATAGTGTGGAGTTCCTTTTGAAGCTTTTGTGTTGTTGTGAGACCGTCGTAAACAACTTTTGACCTCTTTCTTGTATGAATTCTCCATGAGTTTCCCCACATTTCAACTGCAAAATAAGTCACATCATCAAATAAAAAAAAACATCTAGACGTGTATAAATATCATAATTATCACGCGTAATGGTAAGTTATATCATATTCTCAAAGAGAAAATTTAGGTTAAGATCTTGAAGATGATATTATTAAGAGAGATAATCACGAACTCCAAATATGATTAGTAAAACGAACGTCAAAATAATAATAATAAGAATAAAAACATGCGAAAAAAAGGGTAAAAGCACTTCACCAGTCACTATATTATAGCATGAAATATGCATTTCAGTCATTATACTTCTAATTGTAACTAAATAAAAGGGTACAAATAAAGAGATATGCGAATGAGTAACCTGGACAATCGTCTAGAATCTCTTGTTTTAGGGTAACACGGTTGGGGTGGTGTGATGCCGAGGACTCGGAACTTGCATTATATCCAGCCAAATCAGATGATGAGGTTCTGGAATGGGTGACCTGTTTTCGTCTCTTCTTTGGAGAGATTTTGAGGGCCTTGGGTGCATAGTTCTCCAGGGGCTTCCCTAATCTGTACCTCGAACCACACGCATTGCACAACACTGGTTTCTCAGGTGGTCCATTTCGCCATAGTGGCGTGCCTGATCAACGATGGATCCAGAAATATTATTCAGGATAGACACATATATTAGCAACATGAAATTTTTAAATGGGATGTGTACAGATAAAATTTTATGACGGGCACCGTCCGTAAAATAAGTAACTAATCGAAGAAAACTCATATTTCATGGTGGACACCATCAATAAAATAAGTAATTAATCGAAGAAAATTTGAATTTCAGGTCGACACGAAACTATAACTCCGCCAGTGTGCCTGATTTAACCACAAAAAAAATGATGAAATCAATCTAATTTTCTCGAATTTGTGTATCTTTAAATTAGAGTTGTTCTTGGGCGTGATAAGTTAAATTTTCGTAGAGTGAAATGACGTTTGTTTAAAATAAATGATACTTTGACCTACAGAATCCGACGAAATCTATTCTAGAATTTATTAAACTATAAATTGTACCGAACCGATCTAAAGCTAACAAACTTAATCTGAACTCAAATAATTCGAATTAGGAATAATTTATGAAAGAAGGGGGGGGGACATTCAGCTTTTATTTTATTGATTATTAACAAATCAATGTTTTGAACACAAAATCATGGGAGGGTAGTGATAGTGAAAGTATAATTAATTGCAACAACAAGAGCAAATTATGTAATAAAAAATAGAGGGAAAATAAACAAATAAAATGAAATAAAATAAAGAAGGAAGAGGGAACTCACTGTCAACCCCACAGTGAAAACAGGGTCCTATTTTCCTCATTTTCCGAAAATCTGTCCGAAAATTCTGTCCCAAATATGAAATCCAATCTGTGAAATGAATAAACGAATGAAGAAATGTAAGTACCAATTTGTAATTAAACAGCAGAATAAAAATCAAAATGAAAATGTTTGGATTTGGAAGAGGAGACTTACTTGAGAATCAGCTAGCATCGACGCAAATCAAGGTTTCTCATTTTTATCAAATATAAATATCTCTAATTCTTACACCAACATTTGTCCGAGAATGATTGTGGAACCTAAATTAAACGTATCCCGCTGTGGCTTCCACTCAGTGTGTTGTAATGTGCAATTTCCCCTCTTTTTCACTTTTTATGACAAAAAAGAAAAACACTTTACATAGACATATTATTTATTAATTGCTTTGGATATTATACAAATGCCACAAATGGCCACATTTGTGAGACACCCAAAATTGCCATATATATTTCTTTGAATATAAAGCTTGGAACCAATAAATTGAATTTATTTATAGATAATTGTTTGGTACATTGATGGATGGTCGTAATTTTTTTATTAAGCTAAGGTGATTATAAAGTAGTATATGTTCTAAATATTCTCAATCATTTGACAATGAATGCTCAATCACACTGCTGCAGTTGCTGGTGCTCAAATCTGTGACCTCAAGGAACAATAACGATTTCTTTAATCACTGAGATAAGATGGTCCATGCAAATGGTAAAACATTTTAACTTTACAGATGCAAGTATAAATAAATGAGACATGGTAATTTTCTTAATTTTGTTTATGAGCTTAAAAGTTTTATAGTCTCTAGAGTATATGGTTAAAAGCTCTCAATTTACATCTTCTTCTTTTTAAGTTATGAGTTCAATACTTGTTAGAAGTAAAATTCTTCTTCACTTCCCCCTGGATAGAAATTGTTCAAAAAAATAATAATAATAAAGAACAAATCGAGTGATTTAAGAATATACAAATTATTTTTAAGAATAATTTATATGAAAATATAATTTATTAGAATATAATTTGATGTGATTCATGAACTTAGAATTAGGCGAGTGTAATTATAGTTGTGTTCATATAATTCATGTTTTGTGTGTTTTTGTATTTGATAGAGTTATTATAAAAAAAACATGGATGTATCATGCTATAAATGATATTCAAGTGTGCGCAGGTGTATATAATAAAAAAACATGGGTGTATTTAATAGATTATTATAAAAATCTGTTTCTATCAAATGAAGAAAGAGTGCGTAGGTGTATGGCATCGGACCTGAGTTGTGCAATCTGTTGGGGCGGCGGTGGAGTCTGCTTCTCATATCATTAGGGAGTGTGTGATTGCTCGTGAAACATGAAATTCTGTCATTAAATCGGAGCTAATGGGGGAGTTTCTGCAGCTTAACATGGTTGACTGGGTTGCAGAGAATTTAGGAGGTAATCCTCGTTTTCCATTGGTTGAAGTGGTTTGGGAGCTTTTATTTGGGAATATTGTTTGGTGCCTTTGGAAGAGAAGGAATGCTTTGATCTTTCATTCATGCTGTTCTTTTTCTGAAAGTGTCCTCCATGAAAGTTGGCGTTTGACTACCGGGCTTCACGAGCAAGGGAGAAAAGAAAGGAGGTTACAACCGTAACGTGTTTACTCGTGGACAGGTCTAGACGTTGGGAATGTCCTCCGGATGGGTGGTTTAAGCTTAATACGAATGGGTCTCGTAGGTCGGATTCAGGAATTGCTACGTGCGGCGGGGTGATTCGAGACCATTTGGGTAATTGGGTTTCGGGTTCATGAAGATGATTGGGTGTTGTAATGCCTTGGATGCGGAGTTATGGGGTTTGCTTGAAGTTTTACAGATAGCATGGAGCTTGGGAGCTCGGAGGATTAAAGTTGAGACAGACTACAAGGAGGTTATTGATTTACTGAAGAACACCTCTGGAGCAAGAGGTGTTTCCTCCTTAGTGACACATTTAATTGATCTTTGTCAAGGAAATTGAGAAATCTATGTCGATCATGTGCCTTGCGAGTGTAATTCAATTGTGGATCAGCTCGCGAAGTTGGCGTGGAGTCACCAACTTGGTTTGGTGCTACTGCAAGTTCCACCAGATTAATTTCATGATGCCCTTCTGGAATCGACTGCTGAAGTTTCTGCTTTGATCAACAGACTGTAGTTGATTTAACTTATATTTCTTTCATTGTATTAAAAAAAATGGTATTCAAGTGTGTAATGAACTTCTAGGTTATACTTGACACTAACGAGCTATGTAATCTGATTCCTAAATGTTGTTTGTCGTGAATTTGACATATTCGACAATGTTTGAAATGTAAAATATGATATATGATAGATATGAATTATGAATATCGATTGTTTAAAAAAAAGCTCTAATTATTTTAGTCTTGTTATGAATATAGTTGGCATGTCATATAGTCTTTAACGCTTGCTCGTGAAATATTATTGATGGAGATCATATGGATTTTATGTTGTAAACGACGTAATCATGTAGCATTTACTATCGTAATGTGTGTTATAGAGATGATGTGATAGATTCGTATATCCATCTAGATACTAAATTTATGATGGCTCAAAGTTAGTGACATGTATCTAAGAATTATCGATCTTAAGGTTAAGTAAAAAAAACATAGTCTGATATTCAAATGTCGGGATATGTGTAAACTTAATAGCGTTTTTCTCAAAACGTAGCTAAAATTAATGTGACATTTAAAAAAAACAATGATAATGTAATATTATCTTACAGTGACATATCAACATTACCATTAACTTTTTAATGATAAGTGACCATAATAAAATTAATACGTAATATTATGCGTGATTTTGAAATTAAAAAATAATTGAATGATCAAAATTAAGCAAAAGTCATAGTCGGGTATTAAACGTAGAATTTACCCTTTAAATTTTGGTAGTTAAGAAAACATTTTGCACGAGGGGAGGGTTGTGCTTTCACGACGTGGAGAGGATGGATGACAAATGCTTGGCCATAACGTCATCGTCCTTTTCAATCTGTATGAAATAGTGTTTGTCCTTTTCCATGATATTCAGTATGGTACGGGTACCAATCAATCTTTGTTAAGTGAGGTTTTTGTGCTTCGATTCATCACTTGATCTTCTCGGTCAACGTGCCAAATCCATATTTCATTATAATTAGTTTTACGGGTTATTTTTTTGTTCTCGTAATAAATTTAATTTATTATTTTCATTCGTATGATATTTTCGTATTAAATTAACTTTTGAATTTATTTAATCGTATCACCTTAAACCTTAAATCTTAACTTAAAACTTTAAACCCTATCTTAAAATCCTAAACAATAATCAATATTTTAAATATTAATGCAATTAGATGACTTTGAAAATTAAATTTATGTGAAAATATCATAGAAATGAAAATAATGAATTAGGTCTACTACAGAAACAAAAGTAACATTTAAACCTTTTAATTATAAAGTGAAAATCAAATAGTTCTGAACATAAATTATATTTACATCATATATAAATTGTTCGTCCAACTCAGTTGGTAGAGCGCAAGACTCTTGACCTTGTGGTCGTGGGATCAACTCTCACGGTGGGCAATTCATAATTCTGGAGGTCTTCCACGGAAGCTACTCTCAACCTGGCGTTGGGGGCAGCCTACCACCCTACCTCCCCCTTACTCCATTACATATGGGAATAAGGTCAGCTAAATTTTATATAAATTTAGACATAATTTAGTTATGTATGATATATAATAACTTTATCAATTACATATAATAATATTTTTATTTCAAGGTTCTTTGTATATAGTAATGTTTTCAATTTTCAAAACATTATTTTAAATAGGGGTAAATTATAAATTTCATCACTTAATTTTACTCTCTCTCTTAATTTTCTCACTTAACTTTAAAAGTTCTTAATTTCATCACTGAACTTAATACATTGGGTTTTTCTGTCACTGAATTTAATACATTGGGTTTTTCTATCACTGAACTTTACTTTCTCCATTATTTTGGTTACTCCGCCATTAAATAGTTAACGGCGTTAAAACGACGTCATTTAGAAAAAGACAAAAAAATCACTAAGACGACGTCGTTTTGTATCTATATAACAGTATATTTTAACACCGTTAACTATTTAACGTCCGAGTGACAAAAAAATCCAATGTATTAAGTTCAGCGAGTAAATTGAAAAGATTAAAAGTACAACACGTGAAATAGGAGGGAAAGTAAAGTTGAATTACCAAATTTGTAATTTACCCTTTAAACAAAGTGGTTCTAAAATCTAAACATAGGGAGCGTGAATTTACATATTTTAAAATTTGAAATAAGAGACAATGTTTTAAAACTTAAAATAAGAGGATAGAGTGAAATATTTTAAACTGTCGTATTAATAGATTATCATGTTAATATAATTAATTATTACGTTATTGTTGTAATTGTCAACGATATTTTCTGTTAATAAAAAAACAAAATTATTATAATAATTATAAACGTTTGACTGATAAAATATTAAAGCTTTTTATAATAAAAGAGTTGGTGTCATATTAGGTAAAATTAATTAATTTTAATTTAATTGTTGCACCACAAATCTCCTCCTTGGACCCTTTGTAACTTAAATGCTCTCACTTTGTGTTCACCACTATCTTTTTCTCTGTGGGCATCTCCTTCTCTGTCCTGGCTCTTCTGATCATCAGGTAAAAAAGTTCCCTTCTTTTTCTGTTTGTTCTTATGAAGTTTCCATTAAAAAGAATCATTTTTTTGGTCTCTTTAGCCATGCATGTCATTTGTGTTCGCTCCAGTTTCATCGGAATCTCTCTTAAAGTTTGTATTTTCGTTTTTGCTGTTAGCTGTTTGATGTTAACTGTTTATGTTTCCTTCCATGTGAGTTTCAAGGACTGAGGGGAACAAAAAACTGTTATTTTACGTTATGTTTTTTTTATTGGGTTGTTTTTGTTCATCAATTGCCTTAGTGAATTTCACGTTGTTATATTTCTTCAAGAAGGAAGATGAAACAAGGTTTGCAATGAGATCTTACACTTCGAAAATGATTTGTTGCTTTAGTTTTTGTCATTTCCATGATGGGATAAAAGGAAGAATTTTTCTGAAGAACTCTTGTATTCGGGTTATTTTGTTGATATGTGTATAGTTGGTATTTACTTGTTCTTAAGTCTTCATCAAGTTGTTGTATGTGTGACATTTATTGTTGATCAACTGGCGCATTCAATTTCGGTTATGTCGTAGGCTTTTGAATTGTGTCTTGATATATGGAAGTAATTGGCCGTTTTCATTCAATCAGTGATCCAGGACTAGGTTTCATAGAAAGAGAAGTTTCAGTGGGGAAAGGCTTTTGAGAGATCTTAATGGCGGATGCTACTGATCCATTTCCTGACTTGCGGAGTGTGTATAAAGTTTCTAGTCGCCAAGTTAATCGACTATGTCGGAATGTGACAGACATGAAGCTTGCTTCTGCACAAGATGGTGATAAGGAGAACTCGTTGGAATCCGATAATAAAGTTGCTGCAAGTTTTGTGTTTTCTCGAGATTCTACTCCCAATGTATGGGGACATCCGAATGTGATTCAGAAACTTAGGATGCAAGGTAATCGTGGTTCTGAAAAGGCTACTGACAAAGCCTGGTCAACTCAGAATGCTGTTTCTTGGAAACAACAAGGTGATAAAACATGGGGAAATAGTGGTATAAAATCTTCATCTTTAGAGCATGGAAGGAATGATCCTAATCAAGCTGGTTCCGCTTTGACTAACAGCTCTCATGATGGCCAAATTAAACCAGACCATGCTGCTGGTGATAATTTGGATGATGAAAATGAAGATAATGAATACGACAATGATGAAAAATGTGTTTTGTATGATAGTGATGATATTGATGATTATGTTTCTGATTCTGATGATGAGAAGAGCCATGAAGCGCGCAAGAAGAGCAGGTGGTTCAATTTGTTTTTTGAAAGCTTAGAGAAACTGACAGTTGAGGAGATTCTTTCACCAGTTCGGCGGTGGCACTGTCCAGCATGTCAAGGTGGGCCAGGAGCCATCAACTGGTATCGAGGCATACAAGCCCTGATGACTCATTCCATGACTAAAACAACACGAAGAGCTAAGATGCATCGTGCATTTGCTGAAGTTTTGGTTGAGGAGATGCGGAGGAGAGGAGCTTTTATCAAACCAGACAATGATGCATTTGGCAAATGGGAAGGGCTGAATGATAGAGTAGCGGATCGTGAGATTGTTTGGCCTCCAATGGTTGTCATTATGAATACAAGATATGAACAGGATGAAAACGGAAAGGTAGTTTATGGCCATCATCGTTTGTTTTCGGTATTCTTTTCCAGTAAATTATATTGCCAAACCCCCCCAAGAAAACATTACGTAGACTAGCTTTTTTTGTAAAATATCTCTTTTACTAGTATACTCCTGATTTCTTTGTACTGACTATCATTTCATCAGTGGACCGGAATGGGAAATCAAGAGCTTCTCAATTACTTCAGCTCATATGCAGCAGTAAAAGCAAGGCATTCATACAGTCCACAAGGGCACCGGGGGATGAGTGTTTTGATCTTTGAGAGCTCAGCAGCAGGATATCTAGAGGCTGCACGTCTGCATAAGCATTTTAAAGAGCAAGGGAGGGATAGGGATGCTTGGGATTGTTCACAGGCTCCATTCTGTTCAGGTGGGAAGCGCCAACTCTATGGCTACATTGCCATGAAAGAAGACTTGGATTTATTTAATCGACACTCTCAAGGTCTATTCTCTCTGTTTTTACCCTCAAAATACTGCGTCAATGTGTGTACTTGTGTTCTTGCATGGGCTAGAAGCTAGATAAAGAAATGAAAATTAACTCCGATTTGCCATAGGAAGACAGTAAGGTGGTTTGTGAGTGCTGCTACGAGGTGATTGATTGTGAAATAATACAAGGCTTCCTAAAATGAAAAATGGCAAAAGAACATTTCATAAATTACTAAACTAAAACTTGGCTAGCATGGAACTATTACTTTGTTAGTTTGTTAATTGAAAGTTCTCAAGGCTTACTTGAGCAAGTTGGAGTCAATCTCAAAACAACTTTTAATCCAGCGCATGACAGTTTAATCGCATTTGGGAATTGTGATAAAGTGACAATCCTCTAAACATACAATTATTTTACTAAGAGTAGTATATAACCACGCATTTGAATGTGCTGAGTGGCTGATGTTTTGCTTTTGCTTCTATGGTTTGTAATAAAATTTAAACCTTACGAATGAACGATGGTGGAAGGTGCACAATTTCATCCGTTTAGGCAATGTAGTTTTCTTTCAGTGCCATGTTTGATAATCTACGCGATCAAGCAGGTAAGTCCGGGCTGAAATTTGAGATGAGATCATACCAAGAGATGGTTGAGAGCCAGATAAAGAAGATAAACAATGATAGTCAGCAGCTTAACCTACTTAAGAAGAAGGTTTCTCAAGAACAAAAACACTCACAAGTCCTAGCAGAGTCTATAGGACGACTGAGCGAGAAGCTCCGGCAGACAACAGAGGAATCTAGTATTGTGAGGTATAAAAGTAGATTGCAGCATGAGCAGAACAAAGAAGAGGTAGCATTCTAAATCTCTGTATTTCTTTACTTCTCTTGCCAATCACTGTGCTTTTATAACTTGTAGGGAAGCTGAACTTAGGGTTAAGTTTAGGAAGTCAGTTCGGGGCATGCCCGTTTTTGGCATTGATCCTTATCCACATTTTACTCGGTATATTTAAATCGACATTGAATCTTCTAACTTGTTATCTCAATGCATTAATTTCCAGTTGGATGCCAAAGAGCAATATTTTAAGGAGAAAATAAATGTTATTTGCCAAGCCATACAGTTGAAGGAAGATAATTTTGAGAAGCTGCTGAGGGCAGCCAGGGAGAGAGTTAATCAATCAACCGAAAATCCGACAAATAATGAAAACAAGCACAGGTAAGAATTGTGCTTCAAGATATCTAGTTTTAGATCACATATATGGCCTATTGAGTTCATGCTAGAAGGTACATACAATTTTTGTTTTCTGCTAACCTGTTACTTACTGCTGTGTCCATCAAAGACCACATCGGTACCATTTAGCTACCTTATCCGGCACTTTTACTTCCGTTTTAAGTTTCGGTGTTTGAGACCTGTGTCCAACACATATTTGGACCTTCAGTTTTTATAAATTAACAAATTTTGAACCTTCAGTGCTACCGAGATGGAGGTAACAACCCAAGAGAAAAAGATGGAGGAATTCGAGGCAGAGAGGGAGAAGCTGATGAAAAGTCATCAGGACAGAAGGTTGGCAATAACACAGAGGTACTGGGAGGAGCTGATTGAGCTCGAGGAAGGGTTCGAAAAAGAACTGGCCCTTCTCATGGGAAAGTACAGCCCCGATCACCCCGGGGAAGAGACTACCGACAGCCTTAAAGGACAAGACAAGAAGGGAACAACAGATATCAAAACAGAATAGATGACATTGAATCTATTCGTCGAGGGAAAGAAGCAGCATTATGTTTTCCTTCGAAGGTAAAGAATATACATAGAGTTCTGTTACCAAAGAGACTTGAGTTTTGGATATAGGGACCTGGGAAAGGCATTTCCGGATGGTGAAGAATACTGGAATAATGGAACTTGAATTACTTGATCATCATCATTATTATTTAAAGTACATTTCTGATGATTCTTTAACGTATCAGCTCTTGCAATGTCAAATTTCATTCCTTTTTTTCATATGTTCGTCTAAGCTTTCAGGGCCATTAATGCCACCTTAATGCCATTAATTAGCTTTTTCACCCTCCCGAATTAAATTAATCAACCTTACCATAAGGTAAAAGATCATATCATTTGCTTTATCACTTTTCCTTTTTCTTTACATCATATGTTTCTATTAGCCACGTAAATTTCGGAAACTTAAATACAACAAGAAGCTTTTCCTTTGTCAATAAAGCCTCTTCCTTTTCTCTTTCTAAATAATCACAACAATTTCATCAAAGCTCACCAATTTTCTTCAACTTCTTACTTATTAGCGTCTACCCTAAACCCACATTGCCTTTATCTTTATTGCTAATTGAAACACAATTATAAGGGCCAACTACCCAAATCACCCAACAAACAACCCCATTATAAGGGCCAACATCCCTTGGCTAGCTCCTCACTACCTCATTCCTTCTGAAAATCATTGCACCCCCTGGTACTTCTCCAAGTTATAGAGAAACAATGGTTCAGGGAAGATGCAGTGCAGTGGCAGCCACGGTGCTGCTCTGCTTGCTGTCGCTCCACTTTGAGTCTGTTCGATCGGCAACTTTCACAGTCGGAGATAGCAGTGGCTGGACCTTGAACGCTGTTGGTTGGACTAAAGGCAAGCGCTTTAGGGCCGGAGACACACTTGGTAAGTATTGAAACATGTTCATAACTTCATATAGGTTTTGTCTATGTTACTCGACTCGAACTTTATTTTTTTTAAAATATCTTATTATATCTTTGGAGGTGATCTTTGAAAACTTTCAAATCTTCATCATATCTAACTCGCTGAAAATGTTAACTTTTCACCAATCAAGGTCTTTATACAGACCTCTCGTCCCACTAAAATCTCCGACTAACCTATATCCTTCATCCTCTGGATACAAGTTTCTAGTCTAATTAGAATGCATCGACAAGATCTCTTATAGACTTACGAATGAAATTCAAAATCTAACAACAAATTCATTTAACTTTTTTTATCTATAAATAGTTATAATGATCCTACGACTGATACACATACTAAAAATCATTATAAATATTTAAGAAAAGACCGATAAAAGGGATCAGACGTTCACAACCTCTATGTCTTCTTTATCCTCCATGACCAATTTTGATCAATAAAGATGTGTGTTTAACACTCGTGACCGACACAAAGTTACGTGACCATGTGTTTGTTATTGCAGTGTTCAATTACAACCCTTCAATCCACAATGTCGTAGCTGTGAACAGAGCAGGATATAGTTCATGCAAAGCACCAAAAGGTGCTAAAGTATTCAGCTCAGGCAAGGATCAGATCAAACTTAGAAAGGGCCAAAACTTCTTCATCTGCAGTTCTGTTGGTCACTGTCAATCTGGAATGAAAATAGCAGCGATTGCTGCCTAGTGCCACGAGTTTGCCTTAAGAATTAATGTAATATTTGGTGCCAAAAGGTCAAATCTAGTGCTGGCTTTGCTTTGCTTTGTTTGAGTGGGCAGTTGTTGGTGGTGGTCCAAAATATTAAAATCTATGATGATTATGGTTTAAGTGGAGATCTTGATGATTAATGTTTTAGGGGTTTACTTTATCCTCCCTTTATAATAAAATATAGCGTGTTTCCGAACCAATGTTACCTAATTCGCGGTTCACTTTGATTCGCGGAATGGATATGGAATCACAATTTGTTAATTTTATCGTTTGCCGTTTGTTGGGATAGACTTCTTTGAAACGGATTTTCGGATCATATTTCGTGATGATATTTTGTTTGATTTGTTGATAAATTTTTTAATAATTTATCCATATGTTTATTTTTTTGTTTTAAAGAGACTTATTTTTTAAAATGTTAAAATAAAAATTTAAACACTTCATTACTAAAACTACTGTCACATGGAAAACAAAACTAAAAGAGTTCACAAAATACCAAAGACATAAAGACAACTTAAATAAAAATAAAAAATTATTCTTTCCTTAATCTGTTGAAGTCTCTTCCTCTTCATCAAGATCATTCTCCAAATCAACTCATCTCTTCTCTTCTCTTGTAACTCGATAGGTGAATCATCCAAACATGAACTTTCTGGATTTATATCCCATTTTCTGTAAGGACCATTCTTATGACCATCATGTTGAGAAATAAAACGAGTAATTTCTCTATAACCAGATTAGTGAGAATGTGAAATAAAAGCGAAAAAATAATACCTGAAATTGATAACGAAATTCAGCCAATTTTACCTACGTCTCTGGACTACTGCAGATTTTTTAATAAAGGAAGAAAATTTACAGGTGTTTACAAAAATACTTGAGAGAGAGTTAGAATGTTTTGGGGATGATTATGAAGGTAAATGGGTTAGGCTTTTTATAGTTGAAGTTTAAGGACTAATCTTGTAAATACTCTAAAGTTTAAGGACTTAATTTTGTAATTATCCCTTCACAATTTCAACAATTTGGTGCTGCCCAAATTGTTGAATTCTTCAGCCACCTATGTTGATTTTTACTTTCAACAATATTAGCTTGAAATCAACAATCTCCCACTTGAAGACTGATTTTAATTTGTTTTTACACCTCAATCAATATAACAGTATTTATGGTCTTGTTATTCTAGATCTACGTCAGCCTTTCTTACTCCCTGTAGTCTGACATTCCTCGTATTGAAACCTTGTCATTGGAGTTCTTTGCGCTATCATGCATCGGCACTTTCTCATGGCAAAATCCGATGCCTCTTCTTGCCTCTCCTCGTATTGAAACCTTGGATGACTCAACTCCCCTCGGGTAATTTTGCAACACTTATGGCATCTTAAGTCTGCGCCCCCTCGTTTGCTCGACTATTACCATTGGCTTAGCATCTTTGACACTCGAACTTTCTCCATACTCACCATCTGGTTCATCATTGAGTGGATTTTCTCTACCACTCGAGGAACAACATTCCTCATCCTTTGACTTGCCTTCATCATGGATTCGCTTGCCACTACCCTCGGCTTTCAACTTTGTTTTAGAAGTCTTGTTTTTCTTGACTCCAAATTCTTTGATGGACTCAGTGGTTGTCAAGGCTTTGGACAACTCATTGACTTCCCTTCGCTCCAACACTCTCTTCGCCCATGGCTTCAATCCAAACATGAAGGTTAAAAATCCATCTTCTTTAGTCAAATTTGTGAGCGGATTTGCTCACTCTGCACCCTCGGCTTGATGGATTTATCTCTTGCTATCGCACCGGGTCATTTCCTGTGCTCGACTACTTTGACACCTGCACTCTCGTCACGATTCGATCTTGGATTGACTACTTGAGATCTTGTAGTCGTACCATGTCTTGTTCCTTGCTTGGCCGCATTGATCCCTTCAATTGGACCAAGTCTTTACCCTGGCTTGGCAACTTTAACACTTGCAACTGCGTCAATTCCTGATACTTCTCCTTCTATCATCATCTTCATGATGGTTGTAAAGTGACGCTTCTCGGGAAATCCTCTAATCAAATGAGGACCATCACATAAGTAGCACTTTAACTTTTCTTTGCTCACCTTCTTCTTCGCACTGGACTTAGCCTTGCCATTCTTTCCCGATGTCTTTACTTGGCTACGAACAGTCGATGGCTCACATTGGCCATTCGAAGAGCTTCCTCTACCATCTCCTTGCTGCAACTTTTCTCGGTCTCTCCCATTATTGCCACTATCTCTGGGCATGGGCATGGACGACACATCGCTACTTGGCTTGACACCTACAAGCTCAGTCAGCTTTCCAACTACAGCTATAGCCTCCGAAAGTCTCTGGGCATTACCTTGCTCTCCCCCGAGCATTGCCCCTAGTTTAAGTCCTTCCAAGAAGGTCTTGAACACACCATTCAACTTCTCAATTTTCACATTCCCTTCGTCTACAGCCATCGCTCCCACTCGAATCTAGCTTCCTTTGAATCGTTTCTGACAATTCTTGCGAACCACTGTGTATTAGAACACCTCCGTTGACAAATTCGTATCGCCGACAAATTTTTCACTATTCACGAAATTTACTATTTATGTGAATAGTAATGAATAGTAATCTCACAAAAAAATGAAAAAATTCACAACCAAAAGCTCTGATTACCAGTTATTGGGAATAAAACTAGTAATTTCCCTATAATCAGATTAGTGAGAATGCGAAATAAAAGCAGAAAAATAATACTCGAAATTGATAACAGAGTTCAGTCGATTTTGCTTACGTCTCCGGACTACTGCAGATCTTTTAATAAAGGGAGAAAATTTACAGGTGTTTACAAAAACACTTGAGAGAGAGTTAAAATGATTTGGGGATGATTATGAAGCTAAATGGGTTAGGGTATTTATAATTGAAGTTTAAAGACTAATCTTATAAATACCCTAAAGTTCAAGGACTCAATTTTGTAAATATTCCTTCACAATTTCAACAATTTGGTGATGCCCAAATTGTTGAATTCTTTAGCCGCCCATGTTGATTTTTACTTTCAACAATATTGGCTTGAATATTCAACACATCAGTGCAACGAGAAATAAGACATAGATTGGAGTGAATGTACACCAATTTATCCGCCCTTGAACAATTTAATCTATTCTTTTTAAGCTATGTACATGCCCATAAATGCTCCAAACTCTCTCAGCTGAAGAAGAACTAATAGATTGAGATAAGACCTTCTTTGTCACCTCTGCTAATTCTGGAGTTTGAGACTCATAAATGGACCACCAATCAATGGCATTCATGGTGACAGCATCCATTTGAGCTTGTGGCATAGAGTATATTAGCTTCCTCAACTGGAATTCAGCAAATTGATCTCGCAACTGTTTTTCTTCATAAGCATTTTCAGTCATTTTTTCAAAGGCCTCCATGCAACCCACAACCACCTCCTTGTCAAGGTTAGGAGCCTTACGAGTAAAACCACCGGGAGGAGGAGTATCTAAGTAAATGTGATCATAGAAACGTGGTGTAAGAGCAAAACCTAAGCAATGTAGAGGTATTGTCATCTTATCCCATCTCGCCACCAAAATCTGTTCCATGCTAGGAAGCTCATGCTTGTATTTCCTAGTAGCCATAATATCTTTGATTTCTCCTAACATATTGTTCATCCTCTCATAAATTTCTCCCATCTTAGGACCTTCCCCATCACAAAATTTTTGTTGTGGAATTCGGGTTAATTTCCACCAATAATAACAAATTCACCTTGAAAACTATTATCTAGGTGACTAGTGTGAAAACGATTGTACTAAAAATCACACCAAGGTAGATTCCCAGGAAAGAGGAGGGGTCACAATGGTCCCTCTTAAAACCCACTTCCCTTAGACAGAACTACCAAGACAAGTAATTTTAATAAGACAATAATTAACAACAACTATACCCGACAATAGCTATTAAATAGACATAAAGAGAACACCAAAATTTAACGAGGTTAGGCCAAAATTATGCCTACCTCCTCATACACTACTAAAATAATATTTCACTAGTAGAAGAAATATTATAAAGAGAAATAAAGAATACAAATAGCCTTTAATATAGAAGAAGGCTTATATTTGTGGGATGCTAAACTAAGGAGGATGAGGGCTCTATTTATAACAAAAGAATTTCCCCTCCTCCTTATACAAAACCAATGTGGGATATTTGCCAAAAACCAACAGATCTCCACCTTGGCAAATTCCACACACGTCTCTCAAAAAAATCCAATCTTCAGTAGTGTCTGCAAATTCATCTTTCAATTTATAACAATATTGACCAAGTCTAAACAATGTTTAAACTTGATCGCAGTTACCACTTTTGTCAACATATCAACAGGATTCTCAGTGGTCCGAATCTTCTGGATTATGACTCCACCATCTTCTAGAATCTCTCGTACAAAGTGATATCGAACATCGATGTGCTTCGTCCTTGCATGGTAAACTTGGTTCTTTGCTAAATGAATAGCACTCTGACTGTCATAGTGCACTTTGATGTGCTTTTGTTCCATTCCCAATTCACCAAACAACCCTTGAAGCCAAATTGCCTCCTTCACAGCCTCTGTAACTGCCATATACTCTGCCTCTGTAGTAGACAAAGCCACTGTTGACTGTAAGGTGGACTTCCAACTGACTGGTGCTTTTGCAAATGTAAACACATAACCAGTAGTTGATCGACGCTTGTCCAAATCACCTGCATAGTCTGAATCACAATACCCAACTACACACTGACCATCTTGTTTGTCCTGCTGAAAGACCAAACCAACACCTACGGTGTTCAGAATATACCGCATAATCCATTTCACAGCTTCCCAATGCTTCTTTCCAGGATCATGCATATACCTACTCACAACCCCAACTGCCTGTGAAATATCGGGTCTCGTATACACCATTGCATACATTAAGCTACCAACAACACTTGCATACGGAACCTTTGACATGTATTCCCGTTCTGCATCATCCTTAGGTGACATGGATGCACCGAGCTTGAAATGAGGAGCAAGAGGTGTACTAACTTGTTTTGACTTCTCATTCATGCCAAAATGTTTTAGTACCTTCCTCAGATATTCTTTCTGAGACAAAAAAAAGCCTCCCCAATTTCTTATCCCTTGATATCTCCATGCCTAGAATCTTCTTTGCTTCACCAAGATCCTTCATCTCAAACTCCCTGTTCAATTGAGTCTTTAGTTTCGCAATTTTTGTCTGAC